GAAAAGAAAAATAAAATAAGTGACTGGGCCTCTTTTGGGCAAATACTCTGGCAACAGAATTAAATTAAGCCAACCGGCAAAAATCAGATTGGGTTAAATCCAATTAATTTAAGCTGGTTTAACTAAGGCAGATGGCAGTTTCCCAGGAATTATTCAAACAAGAATAGCAGCAGGATTCCTGAGGTAAAATAGTTTATGTATATAATAAGTGAGAGTGAGTAGGCTCCACTGATGACATTCCAGTTTGTATGTTTGGGGATTTCAAAAATTATACAAACAGAGATGAGGCATCAAGAACCAGAAAACAAATTCTGCAGAAAATGTTAGCCTATAGCTTCCAGCAGAAACTTTGTTGCTGATCGTGATAAGTAAGCCCAAAAAACACAAGTGATCACAAGTCCTTTATTACAAAGGACAGCCCTTCATTTTACAATACTGTCCTTTAGATTTATTTTTCCAAAACTCACCTTTATTCTTTATTTTGATCATTTAACTTTAGCCATAGAAATGATACCATTTAATGCAGTCTTTCACATTCCTTTGAAAAACATGGAAACTGATTGCCTTTTAAAAATAAATCTATGTATATTGTTTAATTTTAGATATTTATATTATGTTTTTGTAGTTTTTCTTAAGTTTTTCTTTTGCATGTTCCTTTGTAAAGCAAAGGTACTTGAGAGACCGCCTGCTGCCAATTACCTCCACTAGACCGATTAGATCCCACAGACTAGGCCTCCTCCGAATTCCATCCGCCGGCCAGTGTCGACTGGCGACTACTCAGAGGAGAGCCTTCTCTGTGGCTGCTCCGACCCTCTGGAACGAACTCCCCGTGGAGATTCGAACCCTCACCACCCTCCAGGCCTTCCGCAAAGCCCTTAAAACCTGGCTGTTCCGACAGGCCTGGGGCTAAAGAGCTGTTGCCCCCGTCTCGAATGGTATGACTGTTGTGTGTTTTAAATTATGCATTGTTATGTTTTCGTTTTTTAATTTTTTGTCTGTATCCCCCTTCCCTGGTTTGAGTTGTGAGCTGCCCTGAGTCCCCTTCGGGGGAAAAGGGCAGCATATAAATATAATAAACAAACAAACAAATAATAAATTTGAACAATTAAAATGTTTAGGCGTATGAACTACTTGCAGACTTTTTTCAGGTTGTTCTTTGTTTTTTCCATGAAAATATGGTCAGTATACATAACCCTCAATGTAAGATGTCTAATAAATCTATAGGCTGAGGGAACAAGATGGTTATTGATTAAGTCCAACGTATATGTGCTCATTTGCCTATTAATTGCCATTCATATGACAACAAAGAAGATTATGTTAATTTTCCAAACAATTGCTAGATCTCTGGCTGGAAGAAAGTTCACAGAAAGGCAGCAGAGAGAGCAGTGAGGAAGGACAAGAAATTATGGGCTGCATGAAATAACCTCCCTGGTAGGATGGGCCAAAAGAAAGAAATGCCACAGAGCCAGTCCTAGACTAAAACTACCACCTAAATCAACCATACACTCAAAAATTGAGGAATTCCTTCTATAAGTTAATCAATGAAATCGAGTTTGATACTCGATACCCCTGTTAGAACAGTGGGCTAGCCAGATCCATCTGGCTCGGGAAGTAACACATTTCCGAAATGGTGTGGGAAGCCATCTGAAAATCTGGGAAGAAAAATCTAATGTAAATGAGTGCACCCCAAAGGGTAGAACAAGAATTCTATCTACCTCATGCACACAGAGCCAGAATAATGCCCTTGGAGAAGCAATGTAGAGATGGTTAAGACAAAAGGTACGCAAATATGCTTCATAAACAAACAAGCAAACGATATTCAGAAGAAACTCAGACTGGTTCTGCCGTAATTAATGGGATATAGGAGGGAGGGCAGGGAAAACAATGGCAGGCTTTCACGGTATTGTTAGTATAGTCTACAAATATAGCTCCAATCAAACCTGTAGAGTCAGTTTCCTAGTCTGTCCTACCTCAAAGGATTGACAACATGCTAGCCAGGGATAAGAAATGTAGTACAATGCATCTGGAGGTTACCACAATGGGGAAATGCTGGCTTTTCTCAACAATGGGCTGCTTCAGTTGAGGGACAGCAGCAAAATCTGGAGGTGTAGACCAAACAACAGATATTGGATTGGCATTATTAATTCAGCTAAATCTTTCCTTGTACATTTTACAGACTCTATGTCCATTCCATGTTTTATTTTATGACTGGGTATGCATAGCAGCCATTTTATAAATTCATCTCTCCAATTCCAAGTACATCCACCATCAATTAATAAAAGAAAGAAAACATTTATTAGCAGATCTACTTGGAACTAAAACCAAGGAAAAAGTACAAGTCTGCAGGAGGGTTTGTCTTGTGCAGTCATCTAGTAAGATGATATTCAAATGAAAGGAGAGAACAGTTTGCCAGTTTCATAGATTATGTTCTCTCGTTTCTGAATGATTTTATTGTCTTATTTGGCAAATATCCTAATTTTTCACTTGGAAGCCTCAGCGCTCCTTTTTAAAGATCCATTATAAACTTGTGTTGCAAGGAATTTAAAAATAACCCTTTGCTGTAGGGCAATTTTTTTTTTTTTTGCTTTTTATCTGATTGAAAAATGAAGCTAATACCTCAGGGTGCCAGTGAATTTTTTTCAGATTTCTTGCAGCAGAATTTGGGAATAAAATAACAGATGTAGGAAGGACTGCTCACCATATTTTGAAGTAAGCAATGTAATATATAGTATCATCTAAAATGGCTTAAGTATTTCAGTATAGGACCTGAAATTTGGTACCATTGTATTAGATTTGCTATTCATTTTTAAAGGTATGCTTTGGTTAGGGCACATTTTCTCTAGAGCAGTTATTCTCAACCTTTTCTTTAAGATTTAAGATTTAAATCATAACATTTCTTCAAGCCTTCGTGGACATCCTGTGATTACATCACATACTCCCAGTGGTCTGCAGACCAAAGTTGAGAACCACTGCTCTAGAGCACCTTCTCTTCTCAAACTGTATGCATTCTGCATATTATAAGCATTTTGTTCCAAATCATCGGACGTTGTCATCCCTTCCAACCCAAATAAGGATGGCAAATTAACTCTTTGAAACAAACCATCTCCTATAATTCAAATTAACAGGAGAAACCTTGTTGTAAAGTAGGCATACATTGAAACAACCAACTGCTTATAACTTGTAAAAGTGTTCTGCTTATGATATTGCCCAGCCCAGAACCAAATAAGTATTTCCAAGCAAGAGTGTCTATTGAAGAGAGCAAACAAGAGATTCTTATAGGTAGTCCTTAACTTAAAACCATTTGTTTAGTGACCAAAGTTACAACCGCACTGAAGAGACTTACAATTTTTCACAATTACAATATTGCAGCATCTTTAATTATGTGATCAAAATTCAGATGCTTGGCAGGTATTTATGATTGCTGCAGTGTCCCAAGGTCATGTGATTCACTTTTGCGACCCATTGACAAGCAAAGTCAATGGGGAAACTAGATTCACTTAACAACCCTATTACTAACTTAACAACTGCAGTGATTCACTAAACAACTATGGCAAGAAAGGTCATAAAATAGGACAAAACTCACTTAACAACTGTCTTACTTGGCCAGGGAAATTTTGGGTCTAATTATGGTTGTAAAATGAGGACTATCTATACTTAACCTGTATCAAAAGACGAATACAGGTACATAATTATGGCGTTTTGAGCGATGTTTTTACATACATCAAAGCCTATTATGGCAATCTGCTATGGATGCTGTTGTTTTCAAGTCAAAATGAGTTTGCAAGCTTAACACTCAAGAAACAGATAGGTAGTTTGAGAAGGATTGTTGCTTGTAGCATATACAACCCTTGTAAATAGGTTGTGTGGGGTTTGCATAACTTCCAAACCCTGCCATTTGGCCTGAGGTGACAACAGGACAAAAGAGACTCCATTGATAATGGAAAGCAACACTTCTCAGAACCACCTTCTACTGTATTCTTTTCAAACCTATTACCTATTTCGGTAATATGTCTGTGTGCAAGCATCTAGCTGTCTTGAATCAGATTAAATACCAGAATGGCAGGACAAAGATGCAGAATGAAAGATGAATTTTTACATATAAACACTTCTTGCCAATCCTTTTTTGAAAGAAAAAAAAAGATGTAGAAATGAAATTTATCCTAAATGTTTTGATGTCCTTGGTTTGCCTGATAATGGCCACGATTGATATAGAGACGTAATCTGGATACGATCCTAGCAAACAGAGACTGCATTTCCCTCCTGGTTTACAAGTAGACAGAAAAAGACAAAGAGAAAGTAAAGCTCTGCCATTAAGTTAATGCTACAGGAGGCTTGAACTGGCACATGTGCTTCAGGAACGAGTTAGGACATGCTTCTAAAATCACTGGAGGGCTTAGCTTAGTGATTGTATCATTAGCAGCCAACAGCTGCAAAATGGAATTCTTGTGACTTGGGAGTTTTCCAGGCAGTGAGGAAGTGGAGGGTAGGGAAAATGTAAGCAATTAAGAAGCGGAAACAAATTGATGTGGAGTATGATTTTCTTCTCTGTTTCCACCCCTCTCCTCTCTCTTATCTTTCTTCTATTCTTAAAAGAACTCTCAGAAAGGCTGTATATAGAATTCTCATTCTGCATTTAAATTTAAACAAGAGTGAATTCTCCAATGTGGAAAATCAGAATTTTAAAAAATCAAAATGTGTTTGCTTGCTGCACTATATTTTTAATAGCTATGGGGAACCCTATAGTATAATGATGTAAGTGATTAATGCTCATTTCCATGTTTCATCATTTATAAATTCATCTTTGGAGCTATGGAAAACAGCCCATTTTAGACAAATGAAAAAACTTGTGTTTTGGGGAAAACTTAATGCACATCCAACATCAGCTACTGCATGAAGATACTTGAACAGTCTGGAATAGACACAGACTGCCTGTCACTGTAAAAAACAACAGCAACAACTCAGACCTCTGTTATAAATATCTTACACATATTTCTTGTTACCTTCTCAGTAACTATGGGTGTGGAAGACAGTGTGAGATCTGTGGCTTCAATTTCTGAATGCTTCTTGTGCTTCTGTTTAGGCCTTTCTTTGTCTTTTCGACTCTGTAAAAGAAGATCAAAAACATAGCTAATGTGTTTGCCTTTTTTAGCAACAGGTGAAAAAGTACAAGTAAGGGAAAGCTGATACAGGCAGAAGGGTATAGTTTTTCTTCTTTGCCATCCATTACAGCCTTGTCTTCACTCAGAACAGGAGTGTCAAACTCAAGGCTCGGGGCCACAACTGGCCCATGAGATGCTTACATCTGGCTGACGGGGCTGCCCTAGAAACATCAAAAGACCAGTCTGCAATGCCCATGCCAGCAAAAATGGAGCTTGGGAGGGCTGCGTGCAGCTCTCCTAGGCTCTGTTTTCAGGTGCGACAGCCTCCTGCTGCCCTCTGCCAGCGAAAACAGAGCTCTCCATTTTTGCTGGCAGAAGGTGGCAGGAGGCTGTTGCAGCTGGAAATGGAGCTTGGGAGCCTGTTTTTGCTGGCAGAGTGCTTGGAGGCACCATAGATGCCCCTGACACGAGTGATGTCAAGCTGGCCCCGCCCACCCCAGCCCCCAAGGACAAACACAACCCTGATGCGGCCCTCAATGAAATCAAGTTTGACACCCCTGCCCTTGAGTATTTGCCAAAAGAAAATTTGCAAATAGATTAGAAAACTAATAATGAAAGATTAATGAATTAGAAATAAGTGTAAATATAATGAAAGGTAAAGGATATTTATTATATATAATAATATATAATGATGTTACAAAAATGTAAAAAAATATCTAGAATAACTATATAATGTATACATAATAGTATATATAAATGTAAAAGAACTGTGGATAAATGGGTATAGATTTATTGCAAAGCTGAAACTGTGATGTAAAATGAAGAAAACTGTATACTAAAACTGTTTAAATAAAAAGAAAATTTGCCAAAAGAAAAAAAAACATGCTCCTGTTCAGTTTGCTATACTGTCAGAAAACCCAAACCCATGTTAGGTTCAAAAAAGATGAGCAAGAGATCACTGCTCAAATCCCTTTGCCACCTGAGGGATTACAGATGTGACCTTCTTTTAGGCTTAATTAAATCACACCCAAAATTTCCTTTCGGCAATGCAATTTGCAAAATAAATAAATAAATCAGACAATACTTTTAAACCTGCTGAGGATCCAGCAAATTAATTGGTTAAACTACTTGGTAAAGATGCTTGTCCATGCCAGTCTGTGTGAAAGGGCTAATTCTCCTTGCAAAACTTTAGGATACTTCCAAATAAGGTTTGGACAAATTACATTTGTGAGGCAGCCAATTTGCCTTTAGGGATCAGCAATTATTTTTTCTTTTTTTCTTTTCCCATGTGCAAGACTTTCAGTTTTCCTTCTCACTCTGCCCTGGTTAAAATAAGGATTTGCTGCTGTGAATTTCAATTTCTATTATACGTCAATTCCTTGATGATTCATTGCTAATTTTTATTTTTGGAAAATGCTCAGTAGTAGAGCTTAGGCCATGCATTAAGAAAGAACAGATAGCAAATTATGTTGAAACCCTGTGCCTAAGAGTTCATTATTTAGTCACTGTTCAGTTATGAAACTACATTCTTGCACTAGTAGATGACCTGAAAGTGATCTGGTTGGACGAAAAGCATCTTGGTCCTCTTGGATTTCCCAGGAGCATTCGACATGAACATCAGTCATGTTATTCTTCTGGGCTGCCTGCAGGGTAGGAACTTCAGCCCATGTTTTCTGCTCTTTTCCTGAGTAGATGATGGAGGAGGATGAGAGTTTGAGTGGTTTACAGGCTTCTCCACTGGAAGGTGCTACAGCGTTCTTCTCTATCTTCTCTTCTATTTAACATTTAAATGAAGCTGTGGAAGCAGTCATTTGTTAGTTTGAGATGATATTTATCTCCACATTGGGATATAACAATCTTGTAGCTGGAAGTCCTGATCCAAAACCTAGTGGCTGTAAATATTTGGACGGGTGGTGCTCACATTCAATCCCAGCAAAACTGAGTTTATCCTGAAATTAACTGGCTCTTTTTCTGCTCCTCTAGGGCAGTGATGGTGAACCCTTTTGCCACTGAGTGTCCAAACCAGTATGTGCTCACATGTGTGCATGCCGGAGTGCTGGAAACCCAAATACCAGCCAACCAGCATGCAGACGTCTGGTTTTTGGGGGCCATCTTTGGTCCGAAAATAGCTTGAAATATGGCCTGCTTTGAGGCATTTTCAGATCATTTTTCAGACCATTTCCAGGCCATTTGGGGGAGCGTTTTCTGGTGCTCCAGGACCCGCGAAGACCAGCTGGCCAGCACATTGGAAAACCAGAAGAGCAGCTTGTAACAGTGCGTGTGCCCACAGAGAGGGCTCTTTGTCCCAACTCTGGCACATGTGCCATAGGTTTGCCATCACGGCTCTAGGGTCTTTTGATGGAATCACATTGACATTGAAGAAGCAAGAAGCAAGGAGGTTGCATTAGACATACAGTTACTGTTGGACGGATTGATGGACGTTTTGTGCCAGCTGTGCTCTTTTCTGGAAGAAGAGGCTTTGACGATAGTGACCTATGCCACCTCTTAGTCTGTTCCACCTGGACCTACTTCTGAAAACTTACCCCTGAGATAATGACATTTGCATTAGAGATGAGATCTGACATTTTGAGAACAAGCTGTAATCCCCCAACAAAATGGTTGCCTGCTCAGTGCCTTCCTCTAACCTCCCATGATGGCTCCTGTTATCCTAGAAGCTTATTTTGGCTTCTACTTTCACTTTAGCACACAGACAGATTTCAAAATAAAGCATAGATTGTAGCTCTTACTATTTTTTTTTTAATAATGCCTATGTGCATATGTGATGAGTAGAGATATGCAAGAAATAAATGTATGTTGGAAGTTGGCATTTCCTTTGCAGAATCAAAAAGGAGATAAAAGGAACAAGTGATCAACAGCAAGCAAGGCAAAAGCCTGGCAGGTTCCACAGGTTTTTGAATTCAATAAAAATTTAAAAGGGGAAGAACAGAGTTATTTTATAAACAATATAGTCACATATCTGGTTCCCAGTATTTCCAGATAACCATACAGAGTTCATATCTATGCATTGGATTGTTACCACATTCAGTAGACATTGGTCCCAGTAAATATTCATAAACCTGCAACATCAAGTTAGATTTGTTTATATCCACAAAAGACTACCAGCCATTTTAAGTTAATTTTCTTCATTTATAATTCATATTAACAAAATATCCTGGCTTCACTGTCTTTTTGCTACTTTGGGGTTTTCAGTTTAGCTTTAAAAGGTACTCACCAACATTGGTCCTAATATCCTTTTAAACAGATGCAGTTTTAATCTCCTAGTTTAACATAGATCAATTATCCAAAATTGAAGACCCAAATTGTTTGGGGCAATATGCTGATTCTGTAAAGCATTTAGAGAGGACTGTAAAGCACTGTAAAGCGACATATAAATCTAAGTGCTATTGCTACCATAGATATGCAAAAAAATATACAATACAATACAATAGAAGAGTTGGAAGGGACCTTGGAGGTCTTCTAGTCCAACCCCCTGCCTAGGCAGGAAACCCTATAACATTCCAGACAAATGGCTATCCAACATCTTCTTAAAGACTTCCAGTGTTGGGGAATTCACAACTTCTGGAGGCAAGCTGTTCCACTGATTAGTTGTTCTGTCAGGAAATTTTTCCTCAGTTCTAAGTTGCTTCTCTCCTTGATTAGTTTCCATCCATTGCTTCTTTTTCTACCTTGTTTCTTGGAGAATAGTTTAACTTCCTCTTCTCTGTGGCAACCCCTGAGATATTGGAACACTGCTATCATGTTTCCCCTAGTCCTTCTTTCCATTAAACTAGACATATCCAGTTCCCGCAACCGTTCTTCATATGTTTGTCTCCAGTCCCCTAATCATCTGTTGCTCTTCTCTGCACTCTTTCTAGAGTCTCCACATCTTTTCTATATCGTGGCGACCAAAACTGAATGCAGTATGCCAAGTGTGGCCTTACCAAGGCATTATACAGTGGTATTAACACGTCACATGATCGTGATTCTATCCCTCTGTTTATGTTGCCTAGAACTATGTTGGCTTTTTTGGCAGCTGCTGCACACTGCTGGCTCATATTTAAATGGTTGTCCACTAGGACTCCAAGATCCCTCTCACAGTTACTACTATTGAGGAAGGTACCACCTATACCGTACCTGTGCATTTCGTTTTTCTTGCCTTACTCTTTTCACCATTGAATTTCATTTTATTAGATAGTGCCCAATGTTCAAGTTTGTCAAGATCCTTCTGTATCTTAAGCCTATCTTCTGGAGTGTCGTCTGCAAATTTGATGTTCCCCATTTATTCCCTCATCCAAATCATAGATGAAGATGTTGAAGAGTACTGGGCCTAAAACAGAACCTTGGGGTATTCCACTGCATATATAACATATGAACTAGCTTTTTAGGAGGTGTGGCCTATCCAGAGGCAGAGGAAATGGGGGGGGGGATAGTAACATTAAGGATATCACTACTGTATATCACTATTATATACATGGCCCACATCTATACAGTTCTTGCCAATATTAAATTCTCCTTAAATGCCAAATAGAGCATGAAAGGTGAAGTCATGTAAACTATCACGTACAGACATGCTTAAAGTATGGATTTCTTCTCTCTAGGTACAGAAATACTCCTGGACTTTTCCCTTTGAATGTTAGTGGCAGTATCTTAGAATAAAACTGAAAATTCCACTCAGCCATTCTGATATACCCAGCAGTATTCCCCACCTCACGTTTTCCCTTTTGGATCTCAAGTACCTGTTTACCCTTCCTCGAGAACTTTCACTTCCCTTCAGAATACACTGCAGACGCCCAGGTACCCATATAAGCTTTGTTTCCGTATCTGCCTGCTTTATGCTAAACTTCTCTCCCTCCTCCCCTCCCCCAACAAGTATTATCGTTAGTTAGAAAATCTGAGAGGAGGAAGGGGTGCTGCCATGCTTCGTGTGTCTAAATAAAAGGCCACCCCTACCTTCCCGACGCTTCACACTCCTTTGCAGAAGAAATTGCCCTGGGAATGCCTGG